GTATAATTAAAATTCATATTCAATATATATGCTTAAGCTTTTTTCAGCATAGTAAGAGTTATATGAGGCATATGAACGGACAAAAAAAATGATATATCAAATCACTAAGGGTCTAATCATTATATATATATATTCAATTCTCGCTTTGCATTTACATAATATATATTTCTTCTTATATATGCAATGAAGGATTCAAGCTTAAAATGCTATGATACATAAATAGACAATTAAATGACTAAAAATTTCCTCCTTGGTTAATATAATTTTCATAATTAATGAATAATTTATGTTTTCATATTGATGTTATCATTTAAAAAAAATTATTTCATTGAACACATTTTTTTATACTAATATTTAAATATATATTATTTATAATACATAAATTATTAAATTTCATTTGAATTTATTAAAGTGATAATATAGGAGTAATTATATTCATATATTTACCTATTGTATATGATTAAATTATCTAAAATCTGTATTTTATATATTAAATAAATATTAGATTTAACTAGACTATTATGTCTTACTACATAATTTGAGTTAACCAACAACGTTAGTAATTAAACTAAATGAATATATTCTAATTGTAACGTGGAATGTATAATGATTTATATTGGGGGACCTTATACGTTGCTCATAAAAAATTTATTTTGTCCTATGATTATCTTATGAGTTTCTCTATAATGTACAGTATTTTTAGGATTCATTTCATTCCCCAAATGATATAAAAATATATATTAATTATTTTCCACAACTAATAATTTTTATAATTAATTATATATATCATTCCATGTCAATAAATACATATGTTTTTATAGCACTTTTTTTAAGAATATTCTACTGAGTTATATAATATATTGTGCTTATTTTGAATTATATTTTTTTGTGTCCGTTCAAAAAAATTGATTAATTCGTCATGTTTTTTATTTTTTTTATTCCACATATTTTTTAATTTTCTTTTCCCTGGGCGTAAGTATGTACCATAAGCAGTATACTGAGAATTAGGAAAAAATATGATATTCCTATGATAAATACATTAATTATATATTATATATTTATTATAAAATATATTATAAATATATACTAAGTAAACATTTAATTAATTAAATTTATTTGTAACATTATACACGATGAATATAATTATTAATATTGCAAAAAATAAGACACCCGTGCTTGTCCACGTCACTGAATACGTAGTACCTCCTGATAATGCTTCTGCTGTGGTTGCGCTTGTGTCAAGTTTTCCTAAGGAAGAATTCAATAATTCAACTTCATATTTGTTTTCACTTACTCGCAAGTAATTATGAAAATCACTTTTGAATTTATCCAGTTCTTCCTTAATAGTACTGTTAATTTTTGTTTTATCTAGTTTTATAAGTTCCTCATATTTTTTTACACATTCATTAACGTAAACATGTTTATTATTTTTCTCGCTTCTTAAGTCTTTAAAATTATAGTATAATTTATCAAACTTTTCGAATATATCATACACAGTATCATTCATTAATGATATATAATCATTACATATATCAAGTCCTTTTACATCTGCAGTTTCGTATGTTTCTATCAATTTTTTGTAAAGCTCATCAAACTTTTTAAATTTAGGATTTTTATTCCTTACTAGTCTTTTTAGCTCGTAGATAAAAAAATTACAATAAGGTTTTCTTTTATCTTCACTATAATCTTTTATTTTATACAAATAAGGACCAAATTTGGTGCAATCAGGTACCAGATTATAATTATGTTGTTTATTACTTCTAAAACTGTTATCAAAATTATTGCAAGGCGTTTTTATTTTCCCATTTATATGACTAAGTCCGTTTTGTGATGAATTCTTATGATACAAATCCTTACATGTGGGAAATATATCCTTAAAAGATAACTATTATTGAAATTTGTAATGCATATAAAGGTTATATATTTATAAAAAATATATTTTTGTTTTATTGTCATAAATATGACACTATTATATATAGAAATATGAATTATAATTTTAATAATTTGTAGAAACATACTTCAGCATTCTTCGCTACACTATTACCTATAATATATATTCTAATTAATAACAAAACAAAATTATATTTATTAATATAATTTTGAATGTGCTAAAAGGGGTACAATTAATATTATATTGATATTGCATGTATTATCCCAATTAATTTATAAATGTAATAAAAAATTAATATATTCATTTTTATATATTAATATTTTATATTGTAATTCATTATTATTATATAAATGATTTAGAGTTCATATATAGTATTCAATCATAGAATTTTTGAGTTTCAGTTTTAAATTTTATGATTTGCATATTTTAAATTAGTAATGAGGATCAAGATTTATATATTTATATGCATTGTAATGATATATGTATATATAAATAATATGTCCGTATATATTGTAATATATATTATTTATTTTGGAATTAATACAATGTGTAATTATCTTATTTATATTTTCTTAATAATATTTATATTATTAATAGACATTTCAATTTTATATTTTACGTTTATAATGTATAACTTGTTTATATGTTCCTTCCATAAACATTATTGATTATAATATTTTTAATTTTTACGTATTATGATTGTATGTATTATATATAAACACATAGAATTAATTATTTTTATATTTCATTAAATAATTTTTCCCCCTTAATTCTCCACACTTCAGATTTAATACACCCATTCCGTTTGATTTTTTAATTATACTCATTTTAAAGTTTTTTATATGATTTGAAGAATATAATTATGTTAATGCTCTAAATACAATATGTGTTCACTAATATTACTAGAATATTTATGTAAAAAAAATAATGTAAGTTATTTACATATACATAACAATGCATATTTATTTATGGAATAATAATGTATGTATACTTGATTGTTTATATAATACTATAATATCGTTTAATATAAATTAATAAATATATTTACATAATTGTTATAAACAAAAAATATCACTATTTATAATTATATATATATATTATATTATTTAAATATAAATGAACTTTTTTCGTAAAGGAATTATTAAAATACCTTCTAAATGCATGATTTATTGAATGAAATATTCCTTGAATATAATTATATATTTCCTTTTTGATTTGTAGTGGTGTAAAAAATATACCTAAAAATTTATTATTACAAAAATATGGATAATTTTAGGTGAGTTATGTAATTATTTTGATTTCTAGTATTATTAAATTTAAACCATAATTTCACGATGAACAAAAATTTATGCAGTAGAAAATTATTTACATCATATGTAACATTTAAACATTACGAGAATTGACAATATTTTTTATGTTTTAAAATTTAAAATAGTGCTATATTACGTATTTATTATAAAACAAATGTTTTGCTATATATATTTTTTTCTATATATATCCTGAACATTCTGGATATTTTAAATATATTTATTATGTGTGATTAACAAACAAGCCTTTAATTCATTGATATATCTTTCAAAGTATTAAACAAATAATTTTCTATTAAAAATCATATGTTTTTTAAAAGATTTATTATAACGCATATATATTTATAAAGGAAACTTGTATATAATAATTCAATACAACTTCATTTTTATAGTTTTTTTAAACAAAATATTTATCCATGATATTTTATTTTTTATATAGTATAATTCAAAATTTTATAAATATCATATATATAACTTTTAGTTACAATAAAATTTGGAACGTTTTTTATGAGTTACTATGATTTTATTGAATCCACATATATTCATAAACAATATTATTATAAAAACATCGTATAAAAAAGGGACTATTTATAAATGTATTAATATATAGTTAGACCATATTTGTGGATAACACAATATAAATAATATATTAAACCTGATTTAACATAATTTTGAAAACTTACAGCATAATACATAAAATAAGCTGTTTTTTTATAGGTAGGTAATTTTGTATTGTAAAAAGTAAAATTCAATTTTCTTAAGATTAAACTAGTTCTATGAAAAAATTATTTCACAAAATGTATGTATTAGGCGATCTTACAAGTATATAATGTTCATAATAACTTAATAAGAGTTATAAATAATACTCAGCATTTAAGATTTAGGATTCAGGCTCAGGTTCAGGGTTCACGTGATATGATTTTGTGATTTTTTATTTATTTTTAAGTGTTCATTTCTTGGGTTCTTATTTTATGGATTAGGGGAATTGTATACCTTTTTGGTTTTACATGTAGTTTAAAACTTTTTTATATTTTTATATTTATATTGGTGATATGTTTTTATATTTACTACGGTATCTTTTATATTAATACTAGCTTATATAGTTTAATTTTCTGCCTGTGTGTCAATAAATGCTTCTACTTGATTTATTAAATACATAAGTGAATAAAGATTATATTTTATTAAATTATTTTTTATGTTTATTTTAAATATTTGTTTATACATATTTTTATACAATGATATTATTATTAGGTATTTATAAATTCTTAATTTTATATTTTGATTATATATGTATAATGTATTTCATTCATTTTTATTTTAATTTTTTTTCT